CAAGGCCTGAACTTAAATAAATAAAACACAAAACTAAAAGAAAAAAAAAAAAAAAAAAAGAAAAGATGATAGTTATAGAAAGGCTTCAGGCATTTTGTTCATGGGGTACTGTGAGTCGTGCTCAACTTGACAGCAATCAACAAAAAACAACAAGTCTGTCCTCTTCTGAGATAGTCTCACTGACTCTATCTACCCCCACTACCCTAGGCACTGTATCAATCCATCTCACCTGGGGTCTTCCTCTCTTGCGCTATCCCTCCTCCCAAGCTTGATGTCCTTCTCCAAGGATGGGTTCCTCCTGGCCATGTGCCTAAAGTATGTGAGACGGAGCTTAAAAAATCTTCGCCTGTAAGGAGAAACTTGTTTTCACCTTCTCCAAGACAGACTTATTTGTTTTCTTGGAGGCTCATGGTGTGTTCAGTTCTCTTCTTCCACACCACAACTTGAAGGGGTTGATTCTTCTTCTGTCATCCTTGGTCATTATCTAGCTCTCTGATGCATAGCAAGTGATTGCGAAGACTATGGATATATATAAAGGATGGCTATGAAAGCCCGCTGGAGGATCAGTTATAAGTCAGCTCCAACTCAATGTCACACAACAATAACTCTGTGTGTGTGTGTGTGTGTGTGTACACAGAGAGAAAGAGAAGAAACATAGCAATTTGAGACTTTAAGAGATTTATGTAGCAATCTAGTTTCAGGTCTGAGACACAGTTTTCTGTAAAGTAGTGATGAGAACGGCTTCAGTAGTTATTAACACCATTCTTTAATCTTTCTCCTTCTGCACTGTTCCTGGTGAATGAGATACAGCAGCTTGGTTATATTTATCAACTCTCCACACTTTCACTCATGCAACAGGCATTAGTTAAGCACTTATATTTTCTCTTTGATAATTTTGTTTTCTTTACTGATTTGTCTTCTGGGTAGTCATTCTTGATAATAAAGAGTACAAGTATTCTTCTACCAGTGTGTTGCTTATCTTTTAATTTGGTTTATGGAAACTTTATTGGTAAAGAAGCTTTACATTTTAGTGTAGTCCTGTTCAGGTGGTCAAGACAGCATGATACTGGTACAGTGACAGACTCGTAGATCAATGGAAGAGAATTGAGAACCCAGAAATCAGCTCATCCACCTATGGGCAACTGATATTTGACAAGGAGATGAAATCAGTTAACTGAGAAATGACAGTCTCTTTAGTAAATGATGTTGGCAAAACTGGAAAACTATTTGAAGAAAACTAGCAAGACCCATACCACACACTAAATAAAAAAAAAAAAAAACAAACCCAACTCAAGGTGAATCAAAGATGTAGGAGTAAAACCAAAGACTGTAAAATTAATGAGAGAAAAAAGCTAGAAAGAATTGTAGAAGCCCCAATCTACAGCATGAACAGACTTCCAAGTATAATGAAAAATATATAACCAGGAGAGAACAAAATGCATGAATGAGACCTTCTATGAATCAAATAGCAATGCTCATAAAAAATTTCTCCAACAGAGCAAGAAGGAAATCCACAGACTGGGGAAAAAGAATTGGCAATAACGTACTGATAAGGGACTTATATCTAAAATTTATAAAATTCTCCAGGAGTTCTGGTGGCTGAGTGCAAGAAGCATGGTGTCGAAGGCTACTAGCTGCTCCACAGGAGGCGTGTCCTCTCATGCAATTTACTGCCTCTGAAAACCACCAGAGGGTCAGCTATGGGTCAGCTCTGACTCTACAGTACACATAACAACAACCAGCACCTCAACAAGAAAATGGTAAACAACTCAATCACAAAACTGGCACAGGATATGAACAGACACTTCACCAAAGAAGACATTCAGAAGGCAAACAAACACATGAAGAAATGTTCAAAATCCCGAGCTCTAAGAGAGATGCAAATAGAAACAACTATGAGATATCATCTCACCCCAGTAAGACTAGCAAAGGTCAATAGGGCAGCAAATAACAATTGCTGATGAGTTTGTGGAGAGATTGGAACCCTTATTCATTGCTGGTGCAACCACAATGAAAGGCAGTCTGGCACTATCTCAAAAAGTTGGAAATATAAATACCATTTGACCCAGCAATTCCACTACTGGGAATATACTTTAAAGAAACCAGAGCCAAAACTCAAAGCAATGTATGTACACCCATGTTTATTGCCGCATTATTCACAATAGCAAAGAAAAGGAAGCTACTTGAGTGCCCATCAACAAATTGAATGGATAGAAAAGCTTGGGTATATTCACACAATGGAATACACAACAGCACTAAAAAATCATGAACTCGTAAAATATTATACAACATGAAGGAGCCTGGAGGACATTATGCTGAGGTCAAAACTATAGTGTCCTATATATTTTTTCCTAAAAGTCTTGGGGAAAAATTTTATCAGGTTATAAATTTGATTATACCATTTGTCTGTTTATTTGCTCCCATCACACTCTCCCCACATCCTCAAGAAAAAGTTCTAACTACTTTCCATGACTAGCAAAACCTCTATATAACCCTTTGCCACTTGGGCTTCGTGCCATCTGCAAAGCTCCCGAATGCAAAGGACTTTTCCAAGTCCCCAGTATTTCAACTCTTCTTGGACTTCCATCTCATCTTCTTTCCATGCATGGTCACTGTTGTTGTTGTTGTCATATGCCATCAAGTTGCCTGCGACTCATAGTGACCCTATGTACAACAGCTCTGAACCCTGCTGCTCTATCCTGAGCCAACCTTATTGTCTCTGACACACCTACCCCCATTACCCCAGTCACTGAGTCAATACATCTCATTGATTACCCCAGTCACTGAGTCAATCCATCTCATTGAGTGTCTTCATCTCTTGTGCTGTCCCTCCACGCTCCCAAGCATAATTTCCCTCTCCAAGCACTGGTCCATTCTTGCAACATGCCTAAACGGAGCCTCAGAATCCTTGCCTCCAAGAAAAAGCCTGGTTTCACCCTCTCCAGGATGAACCTCTTCATTCTCATAGCAGTCAATGTTATATTCAATACTCTTCTTCAGCACCACAGCTTAAAATCATTAATTCTCCTTCTATCATCCTTAGTCATTATCTAGCTTTCTGATATATAGCATGTAATTGTGAAGACCTTGTCCTGGATCAGACCCACCTTAGTCTCCAAACTGACATCGTTGCTCTTGAGTACTCTGGAGATGGCCCTGGCAGCAGACTTTCCCAAAGCAGTTTGTCTTTTGACATCCTGGCTGCTGGTACCAAGATTATAGATTGTGAAGCCAAACAAACTGAAGCTGTTTACAATCTCAATCTCTTCACCATCTATCATGATGCTAACAATTAGACTGGGGGTGGTAATATTTCTTTTTGTGATGTTGAGCTTCAATCCATATTGAAGGCTGAAGTCCTTGACCTTCTGCGGGAAGTGCTTCGGGTGCTCCTCGGTTTCAGCAAGCAGGGTTGTGTCACCTGTGTAATGCAGATTGCTGATGAGTCTTCTACCAATCCTAATGCCACACTCCTCCTCATAGAGCCCACCCTCCCAGATTATTTGTTCTGCATTGTCTCTATCACTCTAAAAACTCCGTCTCATTGTCACTTTCTGCTCATAACCTCCTTTGGAATTCCCTGGACAATGTGTTCTCCTTACCTGACTCTGGTTTCCTCCTCAACCTGAACTCCCTAACACAGACACTCTGTCTTACCCTCCTCTGTGCCTCCACTGGTGAAGAGAAGTTTTGCACAATTGTTTTGTTAAGTTATCTGAATGACTTATTTTCTGGAAATAGCATTGTCTTAGTGGATCACTTAGTATACCTGGAAAACAGATTGGCACAGAAGGGGAACTATTTCTGTTTTCTGGTGTCTACTAGGCAATGGGGTTTGGGGGGAGTAAATCCAGTAATATTGATAAGATGACCCTTAGCCTTTCCCGTGGCTGTGGAGTGATGAGGCATTGACCCAAGACCTCAGAGAGAGAGAGCCTCAGAGCCAGGAGAGGACTTTGGAATTTATTCATTTGACCATAGTCCCCTAGAAACTTGAACTGATATGGCAAGGTGATTCTGATAGTGATGAGATCCAGAGTTCATTTAGTAAAGGAGGTAATGATTACAGTTATTCAGAGAAGAGTCTTATGAGTGTGTGTTGGTGTGTGTACATGCACATATGCACTTCCACTTGAGTGCTTATGTGAATGGGCATGGCAGTTGATCTTGAAGATAGAGAAAAGGGGAGGAATACTCAAAGATTACTTATTCTGCAAATAATTATTAGCCATTGCTCTGGATTTAAAATGTTCTTCTAGTTGCTATCCTGATCAGAAAATTATTCATAACTGCTATAATGAATGATTTGTGCTAAGATAAAATTATATCATTTGGGGATATTTATGATATAAATTGTGTGGTCTCTCTTAATATTACAGGAATTTTGCCCCCGGAGTGCACTTATTAAGATCAGCCAAAACAAGTATGCTCTCTCTTGTTCTCATATAAACTCACCTCCAATATCAGAGTCTCCAAAAATGTAAGTATACTTAGTTTTTCACTTGTAGAATTTTACTTATATCTGTCTTTGTATTTTTAATATGCTTCCCCATATTGTGATCTGCGACCTCTAAATATTTGGTGAACAAAACACAAGTTCAAGGCTTCCTGCTAAAAATATAATCCAATGATTACTCTCCCTTCAGGATTACACCTCTTAACCTGACTTTTGTTTATCTAGTTGCAGTCCCATATCCAATATTGTTTTACTGGCCCTTCAGAAAGCATTTAATCCTGTTATGAATTTAAAGGAAATATTTTTGTAAGGATTCAAGGTCTTCTAGTAAAGTGTAACAATAAAACAAAGTTTACATTAAGCTGCAGTTGAAATACATCAACCTTTTCCTCCTCCCATTGTTTTGAGGTAGATGTGAGGTGCTGTCTGTGCCTGGTTTTCTGTGACCAAGCAAGTGTTGGGGGGTAGTAGTTAGGCGACTTCAGGCCCTAAAGCATGGTGAACAAATTTTCTCTGAGGCTCTAGTAATTCCTGAGAAATGGAAAAGTTTGCTATGACAAATCAACAACTTAAGGCCTGGAGGACAGGCACAAACCCAAGTTCGTACGTGGTAAGCATGGCAGCAAATCTGGAGTCAAAAAGCCTTGGAGTCAGAGAGTACAAAAAATAAAGGTGGATTTTGAGCAAGAATTGTGAGAAGAGCGCCAGGAGACATCCTCAGTTTCACTTAGAACTCAACATTGTCTTTGGAAATCCACTTTGCCTTAAAGCCAACAGACACTATTCTATCTCCATTGCTTATCCTCCACCTCTGTTGTTGCTAGGTGCTTCCAGGTCCCCTATGACTTATAGCAACTCTGTGAACAACAGACCTGAACATTGCCTTATCCTTCACCATACTGCCTATCTCTGATTTATTCAAGCCAATTGTTAGAGTCACTGTGTCAAACCATCTTGTTAAGGATTTTCCTCTCTTTTTCTCACCCTCCACCTTTCCCAACATGATGTCTTTTTAGAAGGCCTGGCCTCTTCTGACAATATGCCCAAAGTGTGTAAGATAACAACTCATTATCCTTGATTCTGTTGAGTCTGAATATCATGGCATATTCAGTACTCTTCTCCAACACCACCTCTCTAAAGGCATCTATTTTCAGAGCATAGGAAGCAATTAAAAAGACCGTGGTTTGGATCAAGGGTACCTTCAGTTTTTAAATTTAACTCGTTTTTTATTTGAAGAGCTCCTTAGGACTTTGGAGAGATCTTTAACAGCCAATTGCCTCAGTGTGACATGTCTTTTGATTCTTGACTGCCTTACCTTGGTTGTTGATTGTAGATTCAAGTGAAGTCAAATAACTGAAATGTTCATTTTTTTCTCCATCTATCACAATATTGGTGTTGGTCTAGTGGTGAGAATTTTTTTAAATAATGGTTTGCATACAGAATTTATGTACAATGTGTTTCATTCATGTACTTTGTATTTCACATATTCATTCACATTGTATTTCATGCAATCATTCATATACATTATGTTATCTGTCTTAGAGCTAGGGATTTTGAGCATTTCTTCATATGTTTGTTCACCATCTGAATGTCTTCTTTGGTGAAGTGTCTGTTCATATCCTGTGCCCATTTTGCAACTGGATTTTTTATCTTTATCTTATTGTGGCATTCAACTATTCTATAAATTCTAGATATAAGTCCCTTATCATGCATGTCATTACCAAATATTTTTTCCCAGTCTGTGGCTTCTCTTTTTACCCTGTTGGAGAAGTTTTTGGATGTGCATAGGAATTTGATTCTTAGAAAGTCTCATTCATCTGTTTGATCCTCTCCTGGTTCTAGGACTTTCAGAATACTTGGGAGACTATTCAAGTTGTAGATTAGTGCTTCTAGGGTTATTCCAAGCTTTTCTGTAATGAAGTTCGTAGTCCTTGGTTTTAGTCCTAGGTCCTTGATCCACTTTGGGTTAGTTTTTGAGTATGGAGTGAGGTGTGGATCTTGATAAAATAGATGAATGAAACCTTCTAACAATCAAATCCCTATGCACATCCAAAAACTTCTCCCACAGGGTAAAAGGGGAAACCATAGACTGGGGAAAAAGATTTATTAGAAAGGTTGTTATTTCCCCACTTAACTGATTTTATCTCCTTGTCAAAAATCAGTTGATCATAGGTAGATGGACTGATTTCTGGGTTCTTAATTCTATTCCATTGATCTGCGTGTCTGTCACGCTATATTACTGACCAGTACAACAGTGTAATAGGATATGAAGTGAGGGAGTGAGATGCCTCCTACCTTGTTTCTCTTTTTAAGAAATGCTTTGCTTATTTGGGGTCAATTTCCATACCAGATGAAATTGAAGATTGCCTTTTCCATCTCATTCAAGAATGGAATTGGTATTTGAATTGGGATTACATTTGAACGTGTAGATTACCTTTGGTAGAATTGTCATTTTCACAATATTGAGGCTTCCTATTCCTGAGCAAGGGATATTCTTCCACTTCTCCAGGTCTCTTTTTGTTTCTTGTAGTTATGTTTTATGATTTTCTTTAAATAGATCCTTTGTGCTTCTGGTTAGATTTACTCCCAAGTATTTAATCTTGTGAGGTGA